TTTGGCTGCCATGTGGCTAATTCGCCAGGATATGAGTTTTATATTATTTTTGTTAATTTTACAATCTTAAATGTTAATAACAACAAATAATTGTTGAGAACTGATTATCAAGAGCTGCTTATCAAAGTTTGCATTGTTGTTAGAATTCAACCACCATTGTTTGGACTTAATGAACAATGGCATTTTTTGGCATTGGCAATGATGAAAACGTTTTGTAACTGTCTCTCAGACGATATACATCATATTGTGTGCTAGTGCTAGTTAAACAAGTGATGTCAACAAATCAGCTATTCAGATAAGTTATTTATTTATTTCATGAATTTAGCAGACAGTACTCATATTATTTATATTTTATAGTGGGCAGCTAAAAGTCTAGCGCTGACCTTGAAAGTGACACTTATGACTTACAAGGTTTCATTATTAAAAAAATATATTGATAAGGAAAAGGTTAAATCTTGGGCATCAGCAAAAATCACAATAGAGAACAATCGGGTTAGAAATATTTCATCATTTTGAAACAAACCATGTTTCATACAATAATGCACTAAAAATTGTGGGATACGCGCTGTCCTTACCAGGAACTAATGCTGAGACTGAATGCGTTTTTTTCTATGGTAAATAAAGTATGGACATTAGAAAAATCACAATTAAGTGTTGAGACTTTGAAAGTCATTTTATGTGTGAAATATAATTTAACAAATTCTTGTGAAAAATTTCATGACCTTTTAAACAACAACAGCAATCTACTAAAAAAAATTCACTCAAATGAGAAATATGTCAAAGAATAAAATAATACTATACATATTTTTTTTAATGTATTATATTTGTAAATTGCACTTATGTTGAAATTAAAAAAAATTATGATACTATTTTTGTGTTCTATAAAAATGTTTGTTGTTCCATATAGGCCAAATTGTTAATTAAGAACCCACTCCCAGGCTCGGCGCCTACAGCTCAACCGGCTAAGGCGCCAGCCACGTACACCTAAGGTGGCGGGTTCGAATCCCCAGCCCGGACCCGCCAAACAACAATGACGGCTGCAACCAAAAAATGGCCAGGTGTTGTGGCGGGTGCCTGTGGTCCCAGCTACTTGGGAGGCGGAGGCAGGAGACTCGCTTGAGCCCAGGAGCTGGAGGTTGCTGTGAGCTGTAATGCCACGGCACTCTGCCCAGGGGGACAGCTTGAGGCTCTGTCTCAAAAAAAAAAAAAAAAAAAAAAAAAAGAACCCACTCCCACCCCACCGTCAATGGTGTACGGCTTTGCCAATATTAAAATCTGGTTACCTTACCATAGGTACCCTTGGCTCCTTGACTCACCAACCTGTGGGTCTCTGTTCAAATGGCACTTTATCACTGAATATATTCCTAGCCACACTATTTAAAATAGCAACCCTACCCTAGGACCACCAAAATCCCTTATATAGCTTTATCTTACATTTTATCCACAACACTTAGCACCTTCTTACATACTATACATTTACTTAGTTTCTATATTTGTTCCCTTTGCCCATTAGCATGTAAGTTCATGGAGCCAGAGACCTCCTGCTTGCTGCTACATCTTCAGGACCTACAACAGCCTTGAATCATGGCAATAATAATTTAATGAAAATACATAGAACCAGCTATGACCCAATTACCACACGAAGTGCTCCCACACACCATTTCATTTCCCTCACACATCTACCTGATCAAAAGATTCTCTTAACTCTAAAGCAAAAAACAAACCCCACAACCCAAATAGTTCCTAACATATAATGACATAACAAAAAACACACCTTTCATATTACAACCAGCTGTTGTTCTTGGCACTATAAGTTATTTCATTTTATCCTCATATCAACCTCATCAAGTAAGTTTTATAGCTCACCATTTTACCAAAGAGAAGTGTGAAGAACATAAAAACTACTCTTATAATCGGGCAGTGCCTATGGCTCAAAGGAGTAGGGCGCCAGCCCCATATGTGGGAGGTGGTGGGTTCAAACCTAGCCCCCGCCAAAAATGGCAAAAACAAACAAACAAACAAAAAACCCTACTTTTATAATCTAAAACTGTATTTAGCATACAACAACTATCATAATAGTTAAAATATATAGGCTGGGTGCGGTGGCTTATGCCTATAATCCCAGTATTCTGCGAAGCCAAGGAGGGAGGATTGCTTAAGCTCAGGAATTTGAGACCAACCTGAGCAAGAGCGAGACCCTGTCTCTACAAAAAATAGAAAAGTGAGTCGGGCATTGTGGTCAGCACCTGTAGTCCCAGCTACTCAGGAAGCTGAGACAAGAGGATTATTCGCCCAGGAGCCCAGGAGTTTGAGGTTGCAATGAGGTATGATGACATCACTGTACTTTACCTGTAAGACTCTATTTCAACCCTCCCCTAAAGCAACAACAAAAACCCACCCAAAAGAATGAAAAAGATAAAATATGTAAAACTTTTGTAAAAGCTAAAGGGGGGGCCAGGCACGGTGACTCATGCCAGTAATCCTAGCAACTCTAGGAGGCTGAGGTGGGTGGATTGCTTAAGATCACCTGTTTGGGCTCGGCGCCTATAGCTCAACCGGCTAAGGCGCCAGCCACGTACACCTAAGGTGGCAGGTTCGAATCCCCAGCCCGCCCGCCAAACAACAATGACGGCTGCAACCAAAAAATAGCCGGGCGTTGTGGTGGGCGCCTGTGGTCCCAGCTACTTGGGAGGCGGAGGCAAGAGACTCGCTTGAGCCCAGGAGTTGGAGGTTGCTGTGAGCTGTAATGCCACGGCACTCTGCCCAGTGGGATAGCTTGAGGCTCTGTCTCAAAAAAAAAAAAAAAAAAAAGAATAAAAATAAATAAAAAAAATAAAAAAGATCACCTGTTTGAGACCAGCCTGAGCAAAAGCGAGATCCCATCTTTACTAAAAATAGAAAAACTGAGGCAAGAGGATCGCTTAAGCCCAAGAGTTGGAGGCTGCTGTGAGCTATGATGCCACAGAGATGCTTGAGACTCTTGTCTCAAAAAAAAAGGCTGAAAGGCATGAGAAGGTGTTGGGAGAGGTACAGACATAGGGGTGGGGGTGGGCTCCAGAGAATGCAGAGAAGGTTCTTGAGACCATATGTACCCGAACTCGGTTGATGCCACCGTAGTGGGGAACCATGGCAAGCTCCAGCTGAGGCTTCCGCTCTTCTTCCTCCTCTTCATCTTCTTCCTCCTCTTCATCACTGCCTTCTGAGGGTGGGGGTTTCGTGCCATGCAGATTGTGCATCCGAAGAATCATCAGTCTGGGAGAAAGTGTGGGATGAGTAAGGCACTGGGTACCAGGATCCTTAGGGAGAAGGGAGGAACTCTAACTCCTGGGTTCTGAGGAAAGGGCTGAGGTCTCTCACTCCTAGTCCTGGAAAAGTCTCGGGTCTCACTCACCTGTTGTTCTGGGCACTCTCCGCCTGGGTCCCAGCACATAGATAAAGAGTAAGAGGAAGCTTTGTCCGGTTGTCTCCCAAGTGATCTCGAACTATGTCAAAGCTAAGACAAGGGGCGCCTGCGGACATAAGGAGGAGTTTAAGAGTTATAATGGGAGAGCGATTTCAACTCTCACCTCCCTCAAGGATAAAACGTCTCCAGTGTGAGATCACTCCTTAAACCCCAACCTTCTCTTCTTGAGCGCCTCTTATGTTAAAGGCTCAGGATGACCCTCTCAGGACTCGGGACTCCAAATCCTCAGCCCTACCAGTTTGCGCTCGGTGGTACAGCACATAGGCCTCTTCGTCCATGACCAGCTCCTCGCCTTCGCGTAGCGGCGGTCCTCGGCCAGGCAGGTAGACCTGGGCCGAACCCTTGGAATCTGGGTCGCCCGACTCGGCTTCCATGGGTTCCCCTGTTTCACACGTGCGCCGTCGACCCTTACGCGCCGCCATCTTCTCACCGCCGGCGCAAAGTAAGAGCGTCACGTCCGGGTTTAGCTCCTCCCCGCCCCCAATGAATTAGCCCTACTGCGCAGGTATCTTGGAAACCTCTTCGGCCTACCAATTAAAGAGAGCAGTGAGGGAAGAGGGAAGGAGAACTAAAGTAACGTTTCCATCTGCGCAATGGCGCAGCGAGGGAAGCGTTCAGATACCCAAAAACTACACGTGCCCCCTGATTTGAGGTGCTCTTTCGCGTTAGCAGTGGCAAGGGCTTCTGGGAGTTGTAGTTCTATAGGCGGTCTGTTTTCCCTATTAAGTAGTTCAGAGCGGAAGACTCCATCTTTGTACCTTTGATTCCCATAGCTTTCTTCTGGCTTAATTAATTATTCATATATGCAAACTTGAGCTCCTACAAGCAAGGAGACTGGGTTTCTGTTCCCCGAGGACTCATAAAGCCAGTTTCTTCTCCTCTCCCTGTTATGATGGCTTTAATTTATTTCAAAATGCTTAAGAGTAGATAGGCTGGTTATTATGTATAAGTTAGTCGGTTGAATCTACCCTCTAGGGGCAGTAAATTGCCTAACCAGGCGTTAACATTGCAGCTTTGGTCAGCAAACACTTAATCAGAAAGTCCACCCTCTGGAGGCAGCTATTACAAGTGCTTTGCCCCTCTTTATCGCCCTTGAGCACTAGCGGTTTGGCTAATTGGCGTAATGAAATGTTAGAAATAGATTCTCATTGGTGAGATGAACAGCATTCAAGATAATATGGATCGGCTGGGCTACATTAGCCACTCTTTACTTGCATGAGCAGGATATTAAGAATCAAATAAGCCTTATTGCCTACATCCATAGGAAATGCGACCCTAAATTTTATCCTAAAATGTTTTATATCTGAGATTTCTCTCACCACTCTCTTGGAGTCTCTGCCCTGACTCCCTCTCACTATCTCTCATCTCAGAGTTTCTTCCCACCACCTCTTTCCTCGTCTTTTGTTTCTGTACCTCCTTTTAGAATCGTTTTCTCTCTAATTCTCCTGTTTCCTCCTTGTGGGACTTTTCTCAGTTTCTGTTTCCTACAGAGAAGCTGATGGGGGCTAAGAGACAGACACAGAGCTCAGGCTTGGACTGAGGAGGCATAAAAACATGTTTTATTCCAAACACTGCAATATGGAAGAGGAGAGTGGGAAGGGAGGTTGGTGAAGTGTGAACTCCCAGACCCTCCATTCCACAACCCAGCCCCAGACCTGGCTGGAGATCTGGGAAGAGGAGGCTTTAGAGGGTCTGCTGGGTCATGACCAAAGGGTCACCAGTAGGGGCTGGATTTGGAGAAGTTGTGGCTAATGGCACCTGGGTGGGTAGGAAGGTGAGGCGGGATGGGTAGTTTTGGCTTGAGGGAGGTTGGGATCATTAGGGAAGGCAAGGCTTCAGTTGGGGACATGTCCTAGGTCAAAATAGGGAAAAGCTGCACAGGTGGAAAGGAGGGGTGTGTCACGGTTTGATGTCAAGGGTCACAGTCTGGTTGGGGCAGTCTGGGGTTTGGGTCACAGTTTGGGGTCTGGGGTCACAGTCTGGGGTCGGATGACCATTTTAGGAGTTGGAAATCACAGTCTGGGGTCAGGGGTTTCTGTGTGGCGGGGCCAAGGTCTGGGGTCACAGTTTGGCAAACGCGTCTCACAGTTTCGAGTCCCAATGGATGAAAGGTTAAAAACGGGCCTCCCCGGAGGCGTGGCTAGGGCCGGGGAGCTGCACAGTGATGTAGGGGCCACGGCCCGGGGCATAGGGTGGGGCGCGAGTGTGGTGTGACCCCCCCAACCTCCCGCCCCATCTGGTGACGTTAAAAAGCCCTTATCGGGTTTATAAAAAGGTTCAGTGGGCTCTGAAACCCCTGTCCCCTCGCTCTCAGGCTGGATGAGACTTGAGGGACCAAATCCTCTCCACCTCACGGTTTCCCCATAACAAGGGGGGCGCAGGACGCTGCTCCAGGCGTGTCCAGCCAAGTTCCATTGTTTTCCTTCCCAACCCACATGGGTCCTGTCCCTTCTGCCTGCCCCCTCGGGCTGTGGCCTGCGCTGACCAAGGGGGCGGTGGGGCCCCCGGGGCCACGTCATACCTCGGACTCGAGGCTGGAGAAGTGTGCCGAGCCCCTGCGGGTGCCCAGGTCCCCACCCCGGTGTCTCCGGTGGGGCGCGGCGGGCAGTGGTGGCCCCCAGTGAGCGGCGTGTGGGCACCTGCGAGCGTGGCGGGAAGGCCCAGTGAGCCTGCGCGCAGGGGCGGCGCGGGGACACGAGCTGAGGTCCTCCAGCGAACGCGACGTGGGCGCAGGCGGCGGGAGGTCCCAGCCCCCCGCGGCACGCCGGTGGCGGTGGTGGTGCGGTGCAGCGGCGGGCGCGCGGTGCGAAGCCCGCGGGCGGTGAGGGTGCGGCCGCGGGCACCCGCAGCGGGCTCGGCGTCGAGGCGGAGGCCCAGCGGCCCAGGGCGGGGGCGGCGGCGCCCACCAGCCGCCGTCCAGGCCATCGTGAGAGCAGCTGAGGTGTCGCGGTGGTGGCAGGAGCTCCAAGCTGGCGCAATGACGGCAGTGCCAGGCTGCTGGACCGCTGCGCGGGGGCAGGTAGTCCCAGCTACCGGCGCGCCAGCCCCCGAGCTTGTCTACTGACCAGTAGCGGCCAGGCGGCGGCCCGAGGCGCTCGGCATATGGGTAAGGAAAGTCGGCGAACCACCAGGGCTCCAGGCCGCCCAGCGACGCGCCGCCCAGGCTCTCCGAGTCTTCCGAGTCCGACGGCGACGGCTCCAGGTCAAGGTAAGGACAGGGGGGCGGCGCTGCGCGGCACGGGGGTGGCGCTGCCGGGGCTCCGCCACCCGAGGCACCTGCACCGCCCGCGCCGCCTGCGCCGGGCCCCAGCAGGGGCTGGCTCTCGGGGTCTGAGCGCGGCCAGCGAGCAGGCGCTGGCGGGCTCTCGTCCTCGAAGGCCAAGCGGCAGAGAGACGGCCCGACGGCGGTGGCTGCGGCGGCTGGGGGCGCGGGCGGCGATGGGAAGCCGGGGAAGGCACCGGCTGGGGGCTCGGCCGGTTCCTTGTCCCGCACGATGGCGAAGTAGGAGGGTGGCGGCTTCTGCGGAGGTTGCGCAGCAGGAGGGGACAAGGGGCGCCCTGCTGCGCCCCGCGGTGCCGCGCGCGCCTCGCCGAGGCCCAGGCCCAGGCCCTGTGGCTCGATTGGGCCGTAATAGCGGTGGAAGCCGTCGGCCAGGCCGGCGCCCCCCGGCGGCCCTGCGCCCTTGGTGCGGCGCCAGCGGTCCACTGCTGCGCGCTCGCGGGGCACGAAGGGCGCAGGGCCAGGCGCCGGCCGCGCGGTGGGGTACGCGGGGCTGGGTAGAGGCTGCGGTGGAGGAGGGGGCTTGGCTGGCGGTGGGGCGGCCTCGGCGCTGCAGCAGCTGTACATGCCCTGAGACCGGCAGTGGGACCGGGTCAGCGTGGGCAGGAGACACCTGCTTTTCCTCGCATTCTTCCCCCTCTCCAGCACCTCCCTTCCATTTCTACCCACTCCGTCGCTTCCCCCCCCCCTCCAGCACCTCCCTTCCATTTCATCCCACCCCGTCGCTTCCTCATCTTTGGTGTGTCTCCCCAGTCTCTCCCTATCTCTTCCTGTCTCTCCCAGCCTTTACTTCCATCTCACCCATCTCTACCCATCTCCCTCTCATACCCGAGAGAAGGCCAGCAGGAAGTCCATGCGATGGGTGGGCCCCAGGCAGTGCCGCAGGCGCCAGTACACCAGGTGCTCCCAGGCGAAGACCAGCAGGGAGAGGCCCATGGCCACCAAGAGCATGTAAAAGACACCTGCCATGTTGTCGATGTCCAGCTTGCTGCTCATCACCTCGATTTTGTCATTGTGGCAGATCCCAGAGAGCCACAGGCGCTCCAGCATCTCGATCTCATCTGGGGGAGAGGGATCAGAGGTCACCTGCTATAAATACCCTCTGAAGACCCTCCTTTCTGATGTAGGAGTCTAGTCCCACCCGCAGCCCCTTCCTTCCTCAAACTCTGGTGTCCGGGACTTCATTCCTTCCTTCCCCAGGACCCAAGGGTCTTGTCCTCCCTCTCCGGTATAGAAAGCCCTGTGCACAGCCGCACCATCCCCCAGGAACTGCAGCAGCGCCAGGTCGATGGGCCGCTTCCAGCGGGAGCCCTTGTGCAGGGCGATGCCATAGCCTGTCGTGGCAAAGACCTTGCCGGAGCCGATGGTAACCAGCTTGCAGCCCTCATCTTTGCGGGCCATGTAGTTGAGCACGGCTGCGTCATAGATGAAGGCATCCAGCTTCCTGGGGGCAGGGGGCAGGAAGGGTGGTCTCACCCAGATGCCCTCAGGGGCCAGCCCCAACCTCCCTCACCCAGATTATAACTGGCCTTGGGCTCTTGAGCAAGTCAATTACAAGTCTTTGTGCCTCAGTTTTTGTTAGTTTGTTTTGAGACAGTCTCACTATGCCCTTGGTAGAGTGTTGTGGCGTCACAACTCACAACAACCTCAAACTCTTGGGCTTAAGGGATTCTTTTGCCTCCCAAGTAGCTGGGACTACATACAGGTGCCCACCACAACACCCAGCTATGTGCCTCAGTTTTAGCATCTGTAAAATGGGCATAAAAGCAATAACTCCCCTCCGAGTTATTGAAAAGGTGAATATCTGATACAAAGGAGGTGCTGGAGGAATGTGAGCTGTGGCAGTTTCATGAAATAATTACTTGTTTAATCCTCATGGTAGCCCTCTGAAGAAGGTCCTATTTACTCCTACATTTTAAAGAGGAGGATTGAGTCTTAGGAGGCAGAATAATGAAATAATAATACAAATGAATGATCACTTATATTGTGCCAGACACTGCTTTATCTAGTCTAAGAACTCATTTAATCCTCATAATGTAGAGGATAAATAGAAACTATCACCTTCATTTTTTCAGAGAGAGAATTATAGGTCCAGACACTATACCATAACTTGCTTGGTTCTGGGATGAAGCCCTGAGTTTTAAGACTTGGTGGGAAGAAGAAAGGGAATGTGGATTAGTGCTCATGGTAGATAGACATCAGGGCACATGCTGCAGGTATAGCTCACTCTCCTTCACAACTGCTGCCATTTTTCATTTATTTCTGTGATTATTTAATTAACCTTAGCCTATCCCATGAGACTGCAGGCTCCCCCGGGTCCCAGTCCATCTTATACTGCGGATGGGGCACAGTTCCTGGCAGATATATTGAAGGTAGTAAATATTTATGCAATAAATGAATGAGCGAATAAATGAACCCACACTTAGGAATACTATGTAACTATTCTGTGTTGTCAGTTAAATGCTTATTATGTGAAAGATAAAGATGTTCAAGGTGTATTATCCTTAAAAAAAAACTAGTATCAGAATCTCATAGAATATAACTAAATTTTTTAAATTAAATTAAACTTTTTTAGAGATGGTTGCACTCTGTTACCCACACTGCAGCTTCCAACTCACTGCAGCCTCTAACTCCTAGGCTTAAGCGATCCTTATGCCTCCGCTTCCTGAAGAGCTGGGACTGGAGGCATAAGCTGCCTGGCCATATTTATTTTTATAAATTACATGCATAGTGGAGTAAAACTTTGGTCATCTTAACTTCAGACACCAGACTAGTTCTTAGAGGTAACTGTCTTTCTCTAGTTCAGCTTTGTCTAAAAGAACATGCCGTGATGATGGAATTTTCCATATTTATTGTCCAGTATGGCAGCCACCAGCCACATGTTGCTCATGAGCACTTGAAAAGTGACCAGTATGATCAAGGGGCAGAATTTTAAATTTTATTTAGTTTTAATTTTTTTTTTTTTTTTTGAGACAGAGCCTCAAGCTGTCCCTCGGGTAGAGTGCCATGGCATAGCTCACAGCAACCTCCAGCTCCTGGGCTCAAGCGAGTCTCCTGCCTCAGCCTCCCAAGTTGCTGGGACCACAGGCGCCCACCACAACGCCTGGCTATTTTTTTTTGGTTGCAGCCATCATTGTTGTTTGGGGGGCCTGGGCTGGATTCGAACCCGCCACCTTGGATGTATGTGGCTGGCGCCTTAGCCACTTGAGCCACAGGCGCTGAGCCATATCTAGTTTTAATTTAAATGGAAATAGTATTGGACAGTGCAGGTCTGGGGAAGACAAATGGCTGGATGCTGGGTTGCAGAGAAGGCAAAAGATCTTCCAGGCAAGAACACTTAACCTTGAGTGTTAAGTTAGCCTGTCTGTTAATATAAATCCCTTTACGTCCCCAAATCTTCAGAAAAGCATTGTCTATGAACTCACATGCTCATACATAAATGCCTTGTGTGTGTGGTTGTTGTGTAGAAAATAATGAAAAGGACTGAATTAGTCCTTGCACCCCCAAACCATAAAAGAGATAGAGAATGGATTTCCCAAATTGAATGAGTCTAGCTGAAGCACAGGCTTGGAGAAGGGGCAAACAATTAGGAGAAACTTGGGGAGGGATGGTGTTCATCAATCCTTCTGTTGATAAATGAGGTTTGAATTAATTTTATATAAGCCTAACAGGCAGGGAGATCCCAGTTGACATCTGGAAACATACATAGGGGCAGGAAAAATACTGCAACCGCCTGCAGGCATTTCTGCCTTGTAGGCAAACTGTAATTTTTCTCTAGGTTTCTCTTTGTTTAGGAAAATGCCCTTGGGGGCAAAAGGTGAATTGCTCTCTGTGTTTAAATGGGAAGACTGAAATTTCCAGAGTCAGGCTCCTCTTACAGAAGAGGAAGGATGGAGGGGCTGGGAACTAGGATAAGATGGAAGAAGGGTCTCCAGGTGTGTTCAGAGGACATGGGGGAGGGGAGGGAGATACTCTCAAGGACCATTTTAGAAGAAGCTAAAAATCAAGGCTTCCAATGGTGGAAATATTTGAGAGGATTTCAGGAAGAGGAGATCTAATAGCATTCACCTTTGCTCAGTTCCAGTATTTAATGTCAACCTCCCTTACCCCATCCCCAACTTCCCATCCCCCTAGTGTGCCTAAATTTCTATTACAACTCAGCTATTTCTTTTAGTTTCTTTTTTTGGGGGAGAGTGGGAGAGACAGAGTCTCATTCAGTTGCCCTGGGGGTGAGTACCATGGCGTCATAGCTTAAAGCAACCTCAAACTCTTGGGCTCAAGCAGTTCTCTTGCCTCAGCCTCTCAAGTAGCTGGGACTACAGGCCGCCACTGCAACACCCAGCTATTTTTTAGAGATGGGGTCTCACTCTTGCTCAGGCTGGTCTTGAGCTCCAGGGCTCAAGCAATCCACCTGCCTTGGCCCCCAGAGTGCTGGGATTACAGGCATGAGCCACTGCGCCCAGCCCTTCAGCCATTTCTTACATATGGCCTTTATTTGGGTGTAGGTTTGGAACAAATTAAAATTCCTTGTGCCTATCCTTGCTATCCTGTTTGTTCCCAGCCCATTGCCAGAAGGATCTTAACATTTGAGTGAGCCCCTGTCCCTACTCAGCTCACTACCCTCCCCTGGCACCCTATGTCATTCACGGTGACTTGAGCTATCTCAAAATTCAAGGCACCATGCCATTTCACACTCGCCCCTCCCCCCACCTCCCAAGTTCCCTGTCACCTGTTTTGCTCCCTGGTCTGTGCCCTGTACTTGGAACACTGGCAGCTTAATCCTGCCTCAGGGCTTTTGCACTGTTTCCTCTGCTGGAACATTTGTCTCCCAGACAGCCACCTAACTGGTTCCCTTAACTCTTCCAAGTGTTTCCTCCTTTTTTTTTTTTTTTTTAAGATACTGAGTCTCACTTTGTCACTCTTGGTAGCATGCCATGGTGTCACAGCACAAAGCAACCTCCAACTCCTGAGCTTAGGGGATTCTCTTGCTTCAGTCTCCTGAGTAGCTGGTTTACAGGTGCCTGCCACAATGCCCAGCTATTTTTGTTGTTGTTGTTGTGGTGGTGGTTTGGCCAGGGCCGGGTTTGAACCCGCCACCCTTAGTATATAGGGCCTGCATCCTAGTCACTGAGCCACAGGCACCACCCAAAAGACACCTTCTTTAGCACCCCATTTAGTAACTGCAATCTATTTGGGAGGCCAAGGTAGGAGGATTGCTTGAGGCCAGAAGTTGGAGACCAGACTGGTCAACATAGTGAGACCCTTCCTCTTAAAAAAAAAATTATCATTTTTTTTAAGATAGAGTCTCACTTTTGTTGCCCTGGGTGGAGTGCCATGACGTCATAGCTCACAGCAATCTCTTGGGCTTAAGCGATTCTCTTGCCTCAGCCTCCCGATTAGCTGGGACTATAGGCACCCACCACAACGCCTGGCTATTTTTCAGAGATGGGGTCTTGCTCTTGCTCTGGCTGGTCTCAAACTCCTGAGCTCAAGCAGTCCACCTGCCTCGGCCTCCCAGAGTGCTAGGATTACAAGCATGAGCCATCGTGCCCAGCCTCTTCAAAAAAATTTTGAAAAATGGGGCTGGACATGGTGGCTCACACCTGTAATCCCAGTGCATTGGGAGGCTGCCTAAGCTCATGATTTTGAGACCAGCCTGAGCTGGAGCAAGACCCCGCCTCTAAAAATAGCTGGGCATTGTGGCGGGCACCTATAGTCTGAACTACTCGGAAGGCTGAGGCAAGGGAATCGCTTGAGCCCAGGATTCTGAGGTTGCTATGAGCTATGACGCCATGGCACTCTACCAAGTGACAAAGTGGGACTCTGTCTAAAAAAAAAAAATGAGCTAGGCATGGTGGCATACACCTGTAGTCCAACCTACTGGAGAGGCTGAAGCAGGACAATCAAGCGGGAGTTGGAGGTTGCAGTGAGCTATGATCCTTCCACTATACTCCAGTCTGGGCAACAGGGCAAGATCTTATTTCAAAAAACAAAAAGAATAAGCAGAGTGTGGTGGCTCATGCCTATAATCCTAGCACTCTGGGAGGCTGAGGCCAGTGGATGGCTTGAGTTCAGGAGTTCAAGACCAGCCTGAGCAAGAGTAACCCCATCTCTACTAAAAATAGAAAAACTAGCTGAGCACTGTGGGGGACACCTGTTGTCCCAGCTACTCCAGGAGGCTGAGGCAAGAGGATACCTGAGCCCAAGAGACTGAGGTTGCTGTGAGCTATGTCGAAGCCACTCAATCTACCAAGGGCAAGAGAGTGAGACTCCGTCTCAAAAAAGAAATAATAATAATACTGCAATTTGTAGCCTTCTTCCCAGGTCTCCCAAATTGGTTCACTTTGCCCTATTTTACTCATATCTCTTGTTGCTTAGTAACACATTATAAAATGTTCTTAATTATTCAGTTTATTGTCCCTCTCCCTCTGCTAGAATTTAAGT